CTGAGGGGGCAGCGGGCGGAGGGGCAGCGCCGGGCCCGGCCCCGCCCGGCCCGCGCTTGGCACAGTGCTCCAGCGGCCGGGAAACGGGAGAGCGGGATGCCCCCGGCCGCACCCCTCGCAAGGGGTCTCCAGGCCTCCTGTCACCGCCATACCCCCGAAGTTCAGTTCGGTGGGGTCGTGCCGCCAGCAGCCGCGGCTGTCTGCCCTAAAGCTGTTCCACTGCTTGGCCTTGGTCTTGTTGGAAAGGTATTCACGGTGTAGGTTTCTGTGATGGTGAACCAATTCCTACTATAGTCCGAACCTTGAATCTTTTGTCAAGTGTTGATCAGTAATTTATCCTGCAGTGGACTTATATATAGATCTCTTAGCAGTAGTTTAGTCTTGTGCCTGTTATCAGCAGCGTGTTGCCTTCGAGAAATTCTGCTTCGTTGTTCATCGGACATCACAGTTGTTGTCACCTTCAACGCCACAGAGCTATGTAGGTGCCGCTGTTACGACCACTTTGCTTTAAAAATATTAGGAAATTGAATATTGTTCAGGATTGAGCAACGTGTTTCAATTTCTAATTTTTAGGATTCTGCTAAGTTTGCTGTGTGATGATTGTAACCAGCATTTGCAGAATACTCTAACAGCTAACAAATGCAGGTTTTTTACTAACATGGTTTTAAACAGAATCCCCATCTGCTTCTGTATTAGAGTTTGTTTCTATGAGGAAAGCTCAGTTGTGCAGAAAAAGGAAGTTAACAGTAGTCTTAAGCTTGTGCTTGGGCATTTATTATCATCAGGCATTATAATTACAACTTACATTTATGTAGCTGAAAGATATAGTTTTTCCTTGCTTATTTACTGATTAAAGAAATTATGGAAGATATATAAGGAGAGCAAATTTGCTTTCCTGCTCTTGCAGGATTCTTTATGTTATATTCTTTTTCAACTAAAAAAGAAGGGTGAATAGGAGTTTTTATTGTGTTGGTTTTTTTTTTTGTTGTTTTTTTTTTTTTTTGTAGAACCACTGACTAGAACTTATCTGACAGCTGAAATTTTGTACTCCTTTGTCCGTTGCTGTCTATGACAGAGGAGAGACCTCCTGAGGGATATTGTCTTGTCAGCACCATCTTACTTACTGGCATTTTCATCACCTCTGAATGATGCCTGACCTTTGTTGGAGAGAAGTGAAGAAGAACATAGCACAATCCACAGTTCTTAGATGCTTCACATAGGTTATTCTGCCATTCTGTTATATATGTTTTTGTAGATTGTTTTGCTGCATTTTTGAGAATATTATATGTAAAATAAACCAGTTCTGTTTGAGGAAAGTGGAGAAGTCAAGGGGGCTGTTCTGAAACACATTGTTTTCTGCAAGTTCTGTTTCAGTATTAAAGGAATACATTTTATCATTGTGGCCAGGACCCTAGTTCTTAGTGGGAGTGTTGTCAAGTTTGAACTGATTTTGGGCAGTTTTGGCAACTTCTCTCACTCCTCTTCACCTTTCTCAAATGTAGCAGTCAGCTCCGGTAGCACCAGTTGAACCAGGAGAGAGAAGCTCTGATGAACTCAATTATTGTAGTCCTTGCTGGTCCCTGAAGGGAATTTTATCTCTTGCACCGAAGCAGGTTATGAAGTAGTGTCTTCTGCCTTCTCCCTTCCCCCACCCAGCTGGATGATTCTTTCTTGTGCTGCTACAGCAGTAACTGTTTCCTTCACAGCTGGAAAAGTGCTGTGTCATTTGGCAGGAACACAAGCACAGTTCTTCTCACTGAGGGTCTCCCACACAGCAATTGTGTAGAATTCCAAGAAACAGGAACAAGTATTTTCCTTGTACAATAGGCTGACAGGTTCATATGATGCCTAAATGTGATGAGTAAATTAAAACTTTAAACAAATGTATTTGCTGCCTTCTAAATTTTCCTCTTCCTCAATTGAGCTAAGCATTAAAAATTAAAAAATTCAATGATGTCGGTCTTCATTGACCTACATTAAAAGAGCAAAATGCAAATGAAATTCAAAGAAGTGTGAACATCATGTTCTGTACCTTTCAGCTATTCCAATTTTTTTCCCCATGTATTTTTAAAGGAGTCATAGCATCAAGGCCAGTTATGTTTTTACCAGTATGTTATAAACCACACATAGAAAGTGAGTCCTTGTTTAGGAAAGAGTCTTTTTAGATCTACAGAACAGAATCAGAAGGTGGGGTGTGATAGCTGAGTCAGTGTTTTTAATATTTTTTATGCCATTTGTCTTTCTTAGGGAATGTGACCAAGTGATTCTGAACAGTTTTATTAGCTGAATTATGCTGTTAAACCAAACAATCACACTCTGTATTCTAAAAGGCTGTTATAAAAACTGTGGTCCCCTGAAGATGGGTGTTACTGGACTAACAATGAAATAGTAATCTTAATGTTACTTCATTAGTCCACACCCATTAACATGAACATTTTCAGTATTGTTTTTCTGAAGAGAAAATATTTGGGGTGAGAGGCAGAAATGGAACCATTTCCTCAAGTTCAGCTTGAATGAGGAAAAAAATAAACTTCTAAATTGTGCAGTTTTCAATATTGGGAAAGGGTTTACCTCTCAGTGTAAATAACTCAGCTGATAATGCCCTTCAAGCTTGAATGCTGCATATAAATAAAATATTGGAAGAACTGTAGTTTAAGCAAGTTATGTAAACCTTTAATTTTGTTTCCCCGTCTTTACCCAAGGCTGTCACTACACTTGCAGATCTCTGCTTAACTGAAGCATGACCAATTGTCATGCTGTGAATAAGCTCTATGGATAAGCTGGGGAGAGAATTGTAAGCTCACAGCTGTCTGCAAAAATTAACTTCCTCAAATTATTTTGATACGGCATTTTCCAAGATTTATCTATACTGATTCCTTAACATAGTATTGTCTATACATAAGATTGCTTTAGTCTGCACTTCTTTTTTGTGAGGAAAAAGACACAACTTCGGGGTTCAAATAAACTAGGGTGTTTATTAAGGGAAAAAAACAAAGGGGATGAAGGGATAATGGGTGAGGAAGTAAAAAGAAAGGAAATTTAAAAAAATCCCTGGTCTGACAATTGAGGAATCCTCTGGCCGAACCAGAGTTTTGGTTTTGAGTGCAAGAGCTCAGCAGCACTGCGGTGAATGTAGCTAATCTGCACTCAAAATTTATACTAAAAAAATCTCTAAAAGAGCTGTAGACCGTATTCTGCAGTGTCGGGTCCTCTGCTGCAGCTAATCCACAGTTAAAAGGGCAGGTCTTTGAATCTCGTAGCTCCTTTTATCATCTCTGTCCCCTCGGCTTGTTGCTGGCAGTCCCACCCCTATAGTTTCTCTTGATGGGTGCTGGTAAAACCTTCTCCTCCAACAGTCTGCTGTCGTTGGGGTAACTGAGGTTTTGGAGGGAAAGTTCTTCATTAGTATGCAGTGTTGCCGTGGTGTCATGCTGCTGGCGAGGGGATTTGCTTTGAAGCCCTCGAAAGTGACAAACTTAAAAGGGATTATTAAACTTACAAATAATGTATCAATAGCAACAAATAAATGAGTAAGGGACCACAAAATTAGGGATAATGCTTATGACAGTTGACAATCTTGTTGGCAGAACTATCAAACATTCAGTTGGAACACACAAAAAAAATCCACCAGTACAGTTCTACAATGATCAACTTCTAAACAGCAACTTCAAACAATCCCACATGCAAAAGCCAATTGAGGTGTTTTATAGATGACATTTTTCCTCTTAATTTCTCATATTCATGAACATTTTCTGTGAGTCTCCTGACTTTATGATGTTTTGTAAGGGCACAGAACTGGAAGTATGTCTCACCTGGGTGTGTGACTGAATCTTAAACAAACTTAGGTGCCTGTTTCAGTCCAATTGTGTAGACTTATGGAGATGCTGTCAGTTGTATGTAGAGTGTAATACCATTGGCAAAAAGTGGGGGGGTTACTGTAAAATGAGGCAGATTGCAACTGAGTACCATTTAATGGGATCAGAGCCAGGGCAACTTGCACTGCTTTTCCTAACAATCTTGCTGATTGATGACCCTTTCAGAAGCAGCACATGGATTCTTCTAAGTGTCTGGATCAAAAGCTGTAGAGAACTGGACCAGGCTACAAAAGCCAAGCTGCTCTGATGTTGTCATGCAAACTTTCAGTTCCCCTGATGCAACCAGTAGCTGCCATTCCCACCTGCTCTAACCTGACTTTTTTTGAGTATGGATGCAATATTATGTCCAACCAGGGCTGAACATAGTATTGCAGAAAAAGTCATACCATCTGACAACATCTCTTTTCTCTTTAGTCTGTCACACGACTGATTCATAATATCCTGTGATTGACTTGTGGATCTGGATTGTCATCCATTTTAATAATTTCCAGCCTAATGAACCCTGTGCATAAAGAAAAAGTCCTTATTGTCAGTCACTGTTATCAAGACTTTGCATTTGCTTCTATTCAGTTTCACCATATTTCCACTGTTGTAGCTTTCAAAACAATTTTATGTGATACTGTAGTCCTCTCAGTGATGCATCTTCTTGCTCTCAGCAGATTTCCTTTGTACTTGGGCTTCCTTTTTTTCTAATGTAAAAAGTCACTGGTTAAAGTGGTAAACAAGACAACTTTCAAGGTATTTGCGATTTCTAGAAAAGTTTTACTGAAACATTTAGATAAAAGGAATGCAGAGCTATGGTAATGGGAGAACAATTTCAACAATTACATAGCAGCTGCAACTTTAATGAGAACAGATTAAGTTTCAAATTTATCTTCATTGTCTACAGAACATTTAGTATTCCTTGAGTTCTGAGTCTTAAGGAAAACTCCTTTCATTCCCAGGGAGGAAAAATTTTCTGCTCAAAAGCCAAAGTACTAATCAAACTGCCTCAGCCATTAAGGATCAGTTGTACAAGACAGACAGGAAGCTAGGACTCAGCTTTTTCCCAAGAAATCAAATGTGTTTCAGATATTTCATTATCACTAAGGTGTGTGTGATAGAGCTGCACACCAATTTATTTCTGACAGTGTACAGGTAATGCAGTGTTGTAGGTAAAGGGGTTCTGACTGCTGTGCATTGCAGCTCCTTATCTCCTGAAGAGAATTTTGTTTAAACATCACCATGTACAATTCTGTAGCATTCTCTACATGTCTGAGGACTCCAGGCTTCCATTACACAGGATGATCAATGTATTTAAAATTTCTGTTTGCTTACTGTAACATCATGCTGCAGTGTCTACTGGTGCTACAAAACTTGTTTTGTTTTGTTTTAATGTGGGTGTTTCAGCACCCCAGAAATCTGTAAGCATTTCAGTTCTTCTGAAAGTCTTTCTATTCTGACTAAGCTTCTAGCACCTATGTTCAGTCTGGTTTGGACCAGAATGGTGTGTGCCTGGAAATGATAGTCACGTGTTAAGCTAACAGGAGGTTTATACTTTTAATTTTTTTCCTTTTATGCATACTTTGATACTACAAACAATAGTATGGTTCCAGTTAAAGCACTAAATAAGCTTAAGTTAGATGTTCATCACAGGTGGGTTTAATTCCAATACACTGCAAAGAAAGATTTCTATGTCCTGTTTTTGTTGTTAGTGTTGAAATTGAGCATTATTTGATTTCTTCCTACTTTTACATGGCAATTAATGCCGTGCTAACAACAAAATTTTGGGGAGGATGAGATTATTTTTGGCAATAACAAAAATCATGTCAGCTAAGAATTGTATTGGGAAGTAACATATTTAATTTTCAAATGAAAGTGCTGTTGATTGCTAAGACTTCAGGATTTGGTTTTGTAAAAATCTCAAAAAATACAGGCTCCAATAAACTTTCAGAAATATGTATTTTTCTCTCAAGTTGTGTCATTCCTCCTGGCCTTACTTGCGAGCAGCTATGAAAGCCAAAGCTTCTAAAACTGTGTGAATGCAGTGGTTTTCTTCATCACAAACTTGTCATTATGATGAATTCAGAAGAGTAGATTTATGTGATCATGTAACTCCTCACTGCAGGTAATTTTTGTTATTTTCCAAGATGAGTAATAAAATATTTTTTCCTCTCATTCTCTTTCTGTTTTCAGATACAGCTGTGGGATACTGCAGGCCAGGAGCGCTTCAGGAAGAGCATGGTGCAGCACTACTACAGGAATGTACATGCTGTGGTGTTTGTGTATGATATGACAAACATTGCCAGTTTCCACAGCCTGCCATCCTGGATAGAGGAATGCAAACAACACCTTCTTGCTAATGATACACCACGGATTCTGGTTGGAAATAAATGTGACCTGAGAAGTGCTATTCAGGTGCCCACGGACCTGGCCCAGAAGTTTGCTGACACTCACAGCATGCCATTGTTCGAAACCTCTGCCAAGAACCCCAATGACAATGACCATGTGGAGGCCATATTCATGACACTGGCTCACAAGCTTAAAAGTCACAAGCCATTAATGCTTAGTCAACCCTCAGATCATGATGAAATACATATAAAGCCCGAACCAAAACCTATCACATCCTGCTGGTGTTAGGATTGTCACTGATGACATTGTCACTGGCTATCACCTTGTATTGTTTGCAAGTGCTTCAAAATTATGATCTTAGCAAAGTTCCTGGTTTTGGTAGCAATTATAGCAAATCTCTTTGGCACTTTAATGTGTTGTTGTTTTTTTTTAATTTTTCCTGGTGTAGATGTGCCCATCTTATGCTCACGCACTTTGTAATTGTACTTTATGAATTACTAAAGTTTCGCTGTAAATATATAGGACCATATTAACTTTGTCTAGTTTTGACAAAACAATTCTAGTTGAGCTGTTGCTGTCTGAGGTTGTTCTCATCACTTGTAAGATTATAAATAGTAGGCCAGTTTACTAATACTTTTCATTGCTACTTGCATTGGAATAATGTAGGAGAAAGCCTTTTGTGACAACCATGAAACTTAGGTTTTGGGTCAGCAAATGGGTATATGAAGGAATATTAGGTGACTACTAGCAAATTACAAAGCAGGTAACTTTTTATTATAAAAGCAAACAAACAATTCTGTCAAAGTTTGGACTGCCAGTGTTGGTGTAAATTGCTAGGTTTTGGCCTCTCATTCCACTATGAGCTTGGTCTGTTTCTTCATGGCAGTGGTAACAGAATTTACTAACTTCTCCCTACCTCTAGACATTTATTTGATACTTAAAACTTTATTAATTTTTCATAATTGGCATGTGATACCAAACTATGTTATTTTGTACTTGTGGAAAGTACTGTAGCACAGGATTTGGGGTAAAACTGGGACTCTATATCTGTCCATAAGTTCTCTGATCTTACTAAAATTAAATTATATATTTCTGAAGGTGCTGTATTTGAGCTGAGTGTCTCAGAGTAAGTAAAAACAGTTGAGTAAGTAGAAGACTGGGTGAGTTTGTCAAAAGCATACTGGTTTTCAAAGATAGGGGTTTGCAGGGCATTAAGAGATCATGAATGCTTCTCAAATAACTTGAAAAGCCAACTTGATAACATATTTCAGGAATGGGAATGCTTGAAAATATGGTACATTCTTAAAATAGTCCAAACACAAACTAAATTGGGTCTTGAAATATGGAGTAAATCTACCAAGTACTACTACATCATCTATTACAGATTTTTGAGCAAAAACATGCATGTATAATGTGACTATGTAGGACATCCTTGTCATTACTAATGTGAGCTGGTAGGGGTTTGATGAGGGAAATTTTTCCTCTTGACCACCTTTTTCTTTGTTCTCATAGTAGCAACTGCCTTTTTTCAGTCCAATCTGAAGATCAAGTTTCAAAAATAAGGTCAAGTTTCATAATATAAATGGTGCTAAGTTGCACATAATTGCATTAAGTGAAGTATAAGAATACATATACATAGAATGCAATCTATGACTTCATTCATGTCACACCAAACAGTGTTTGGTGACTTAGTTTTTGAACTATAAATGAAGATATTTTTTTTTTTTGCAATGTGTAGCATGTGTTGCTTACTGGAAACTAAATGGAAGGGCTAGTTCAGAAGCTGTCACCCTAATGGTCACATTAGAAACAAATTACAGAAACAAGATAACTGTTATTATGTAAACTATTACAATTCTTAAGATGTAATTTCATTGCAATACGTACAGAAAAAAATGCATAGACTTTTTTCTGGATTTTGAAAGAGCATTTAATTTGTCTAATATGATTAAGATGTTTAAAAATAATTAAACAAAAAGTAATACTTTTTCCTGTATAATGCTGCCTCAGTTGTGACAGTATTTTTGCTTAGGAAAAACTTGTAAAAGGGAGCTTTTGTATTCACTCTGAACCTTACATGACTAGAATTTACAGTTGTTTCAGAAACAATCACCTTTTTAACACTAGTGTCCTTAACGATTTCTTTAAGAAAGGGATTGATCTTAAATTGATATTTATACTGTGGTGAGTAGATATGGTTTACAGTCCTGTTGGACAGATTGTCTTTCACTCATGTCCTTAATCCTTTTTCTGAGAAGGATCTTTCTTAATTATTTGTATACTAAATATGTCAGCAAGTTTTGATGGTTTTTTTGTGATATTTTTTGTTGTTTTTTGTTTGCGGGGTAGTTTTTGTTTTGTTTTAGAGGGTTTTTGTTTTTGGTTGGTTGGGGGTTTTTTTGGTTTTTTTGTTTGTTTGTTTTTCATTTATTTGTGTGGGGTTTTTGGTTTTGTTTTGTTTTAATAAAAAATATCCCAGAGTTCAGAATTTTAAAGTCAGTCAGGTTGGGGGTTGGGGTAAGAAAGTAATGTAGCTGCAGTGTTACTGTTAAATTTGAGCTGAACCACCTGCACATCTGTTAAGTTTTATCTGAGTTGCCACAACTTGTAAATAAGGGCCCTCATGTCATGAAAATTGTGTGGAAATGGTGCTCAAGTGTTTAATTCCATGTTCAGCACAAAGCATGTTTTAATGGTTCTGCCACGAAGGCAGTGTGGTCAGTAATGCAGCATTCAGTGTTGCTCCCTGGCTTTCAGTGGTGGTGTTCTGCCCATAGAATGGATGTGAGAGTACTGAATACTTTGTATGTGTATTTTAACTTTACCAGACTGTAAAGTTGGGTTATTTTGTATGTGCTGGGGGCAGGCAAAGCACAATCCCAGAAACCTAATAAACTGGCTTTGCCACAAACTGTTATAACTTGTTTTCAATAATTATAATAGGATTAATAATATAATTCCATATAGTTTAAAAAATGTTGTGAGGGAATTAAAGGAGTTTCTAGTTTCTGTCTGTGTGGGTGACAAATTCTTCAAAAAAGACTGTCACAATACTTGGAGTACTGTCAGTGTTTTCTGGAAATGACTTTAGGTGATTTTGAGGCATCTGAAGCACCCGCCTGATGATTCAGAGGCATGTTCAGTATTTATTTCAGATTCCAGAAGTGATACAACATTTATAAAAATAGTGATAACTGACCCTTGTATGTAAGTAAAGACCCTAAAGGAGTCTCCTCCATTACTCTTCTTCTGGTCTCATTCAGAAATAAAGCCTCTTTAACTTTTATAAGTTTGTTGAAAGTCATATTCCTTGTCCCCTCTCTGAGTATTTTCACTTTCACCAGAATGTATAATTCTAATACTCTTTTTTTTTTCCAGAGTCCTACTTTTGAGGTCATTGACTGATGTTGCTTAAGATTGCAAGTCCCAGATAAATGTAGAGCCATATGTTATTTAAAAATAGTAATGTTACTTTTAACATTTTAACTTTTAGCATAATAGTAATGTTACTTTTAACAAATCAACACCATGTCTAAAGTCATAAATAGCATTAGAAGTTGTCATGATTCTAGGACTCACAAAAAAAATCCCACTGTTCTGAGGATGTCTCTGAGGATGCAGGATTTTTTCTCCTTCCTCTTGTTAATGCTGGGTGCCCAAAGGAGGCCTCATTTATCCAGCTGAATAGTGTCATCAGTGAGAGCTCTGAAGAAGCATTGAGAGAGGAATAATGGCTGCTAGTTTCCAGAGATATTCTGAGATTCAATGGGCTCTGCACAGCCTCCCACCTGCAAAATAGAAGCATGTGCTAAAGGCAGTTCCTTGTAGTTCTGGAAGCTATTTCCAGAGCTCAGAGGAATGGAAGTAAGAACTACTGGTCATCCAGAGACATTCCCTGAGGTGCACAATCTCTGGGTGCATATTATTGACAGTATTGTTTTCTGCCTTGCTGAATCATCACTGCTTAATCACAAATTACTGAATCCTTTGCTAATAATTTGAAATTAATGGAAAACAAATTTCCCAGCAATAGCAGTGATCTTTAAAAAAATCCCAAAACAGCATAATCCTCTCCCTGGTCTGCATTTAATATATATGCTGCATTTACTAGGAAGATGTTCTTCCCTTTGAGAGTGGTGAGGCACTGGCACATGTTGCCCAGAGCACCTGTGGATGCCCCAACCCTGGAAGTGTTCAAGGCCAGGCTGAGTGAAGCTCTGAGCATATGAAAACTGAGAGTCATAAGACCCTGATCTTAGCTCAGTACTTCCTTTTCTATTATTATTTTTTACTGTTTGCACTGCTGTCCTGGTTTAGGGCAAATTTGGGAGAGAACCTTCAAATGCAGTTCCTCCAGAAAAGCAAAATTCAAATGGCCCCTCCCCCAACTGGTTCAGAAAAAGAGATTTCCTTGGAGAGAAGTGGAAAAAAACCTGTTTATTTAACAGAAATTGAATACTATTAAGCAATAAAACCTTTTGCTGTTCAATGAGATGGCAAATCCAAGAAAAAAAAGTCCTTTTCATGTGGTGTAGCTTGGCTCACTCAGGTTCTTATCAGTCCCTCCAGTGCTGGAAAGTACTGAGGCCCAGGCCCCGGTGGGCCACAGGCGTGAGCTCCCAGGGTTTGGCTGGGGGTTTTTCAGTTCAGAGCAGATTTGAACAGATCCAAGAAAAAACGGAAAAAAAAGTCCAGGGAACTCCTCTGCCTCAGCTAGCTAAAAACTAACAGTAAGAGAAGCTCTGTCCCGCTGTCTGTCCGTGCTGCAGACACCACAGTCCAGGAGCAGGATGCAGGGGAGTGTTCTTCCTCAGCACAAGGTGCACGCTTCTTCTTCCCCCTCCCTTCACTCTCAGAGGCAGTCATAAAGGTGCAGAACTTAATATTTAACATAAACAAGGCAACTGGGGATACAAACATCATAAAGTCACCCTAGGACAACTGCCCCTTTGGAAAGGTCACAGGCAGAAAAAAGACTGGTGTGAGGCAATATGCTAAACTCTCTCTTTCTGAAAATACTTAGTCATTTACTACTAAGAGTACGCTGGGCCTATAAAACAGGAGTCAAAGCAGAACCTGCATTTGCAAACCATTTATCCTCTCCAAAGCCTGGTCATCCCCATATCCTTCATACCCACTCCTGTACAGGAAAACACTTTAAATGCTCAGGGACCTTTGAGGTGCTCTTTGTCATTCTTAGTCCTCTGTCCCTCGGACCTTTCTTTGGTTAAGGAAGAGCAGACAAAGAGGAAAAGACTAAACTGGCCCTAAAATATATAAAACAGCTTTTCAGTTTACTTCAGTAAGTAGGGAGGGGAGGGGAGATTACCCGAGCAGCTCAGAAAGTGCAAGTGAAACTGCAGTTTGGTAATGTGCTTGGGTTAGACTGGCCTGAAGAGGTGCAGGACAAAGCAGTTCCTGTTTTTATGGTGAAACTGCTAGGGAAGGCTGAAAAATGCTGTTTACTTTAATGGGCTTCTCTCCTCAAGTCAGAGTTAAGTTCAACAACTTTTCCCTGTATTTACTGGATTTACTGTATTTGCTGTTAGCGCTGGAGAATCATGGAATCATATCTGTTTGGAAGGGACCTATAAGAATCTGTGGTTGGACTCAATGATCTTAAAGGTCCTTTCCAACCTAAAGAAGTCTGTGGTTCTATGATCTAAGAAAAAAAAAATTACACAGTCTCACTCAAAAAAATGAATGTTGTGCTTTTTATATTAGGTAGGGTTTCTACTGAGTATAAGAAAAAAAAAGCCAAAAAACCAAAGTGAATATTCCTCCTCTCAGCTGCAGGCAAATACCACTTGCTATTTTCAGAACATATCTGTATTTTGATTCATTAATAGTACTCCTGTGCTATTTTCCCAGCTCTTTTAAGGCTCTCTTCTGTAGCCTGCCCTTCCCTAGCAGTCAGCAGTATGTTTAATGACCAAGACCTATGTATTTCCCACTCAAAATATTTTAGGTCAGTTCATCCACCGACAGAGAAACTTTACTTCAATTTCCAACTACATGCTAAAACAGGGTGGGCTATGGAGAAAAAGAACTGTGACTTTGTATCCCCTGGCTTCTCACTGCCTTTTGCCAGAAAAGGGAAAAGACATTTGTACCCAGGAAAGACTGCCCTGACCCTGAGCACCAGCAGTTCAGCAGCATAGGAGAGAAACTGCACCAAACCATATGTGAAAAATAAAAATTCAGATATAAATAAATACAAATATATATATATATTTGAGAAGTCCCAAACAGGCTTGTTGTCAAAGAAGTGCCTGAAAGGGTTCCCTGATCCTCGCCATGATGAAGATCCCTCCTCTTTCCCTCCTCCTCTGCATCTCCTGCCCCATCTGTTGGGGAAGTGACTTCAAAAAATTCTTTGTCCTTAGCTGAACATTAACTTCCAGAATCAGCTTTCCTGATTAACCTTCCGATTACACTAGGTGATTAACTCAGGCCACTGCTAATGGAGAGGCTAGCAGGCTTTTTTATCCACCTCAGGATTTTGTGTGCCTTGTTCTGTGCATCAGGGAAGAGGGTAATGTTTGTCTCAGCCTACTTGAGGTAAAGAAGTTTTTTTGATGTAAATGCCTTGTCTTTGACTTAATACAAGAAATGCTGACACAAGGTGAGCATGAAATGCTTGGGGTCTGTAATGGGGGTCTATAACTCCACCTGACTTCCACCAGTGAAAGCTGGGGGTGACACAAGCCATGGAATATCCCTGGAGATGCAGGTAGGTTCTGGGAAGTTACTGTAATATAGCACTGGAAACAGCAGTCAGGAATATATTTTCTGCAACACTAACCAAAGTGGACTAACATTAAACTGATAATCAGTTCCCACCAATTTCCATTCTGCAGCTGTCATTTTTATGAAAGCCCCCACTTTCGCAAAAAGAACTGTTGAAATGATATCTATGAGTGATCTGCAATAGTTGCACCACTGGAAGGACTGTGTAAGAAATAAGACAGTTTATAGCTGCTGATAAATCAGTTGCATACATTTTTATTTAGAAGTAGCATAGAGCATACTTCTCTTTTACACCGTAAGACTTCAGTATGTGCTGCTAAGGCTGTTTCACAGCCAAAAGAGTACCTGCCATGCCTGTTACTAAATGCCACTGATCAAAGGCTTTCAAAGCCAGGCTGGGTACTTGGATTGTACCCCAGAGCTGTGCCAAGAGGACCTGGCCTGCAGTAGCTGTGGTAGCACTGCCACCCTCATCCCAGGAATTATCTGCCTGAGCCAATGGAAGCAGCACAGCATTTGAACAAGGAGTGGTGACATGTTGCTCTGCATGCTCACAGTAAAAGCAAATTGTCCTGTTCACCCAGCAGTCAAATGTTGTTGAATTATGCTCAGTATGTCACACTGCAACAACTGGCTATGGAACAGCACTCCTGGATGGGACAATAACTCCCACCCAGAAATGATGCAGAGTCTGAGCAGTGCATTTTAGCAATGCAAAATCTGTTTTAGGCTAATCAGAGCCATGCTGCTTTCAGTTATCAGTGAGCCCAAAGCCCTCTGAGGGAATCTGACTTTCTTTTAATGTACAAAAACAGCGGTTTATGTTAATCAAGAAGAAACTCCCCAGCATTTCATTGCAGAAGCATCTGAGGACAGGGAGAGCAGTCACGCTCAGCGCTTTGATGCCTGTTGACAGGCACTATTTCAGAGGAAAAAGCACAGCATCCCATTTTGAATCACAATGTTTGAATTAATATATTAAAGCAATTTAAACATTAATACCTTCAAATGAACAAGACAACAGATGTGTTTTGGTTGGCATCGGAAGGGGTTGGACTAGGTGATCCCCAGAGGTCCCTTCCAACCTCAATCATTCTGTGGCTCTGCTGGCAAGTTAATAAAGGTATTTAGAGCCAAATTTAGGAGAAATTTGTCTACTGTGGCACATAGTTAAGCCTTCAGTTGCCAGAGTAGGACCTGCAGGCCCAAGGTAAGCTGATAGTCCAAGCACCCAAATTTGGGGACAGCATCCCTGGCTGAAGCTGGGCAGTGAAAGAAGCAATATGTGACTTGAGAAGGGTTGTGGAGGGAGCCTGGTGGTTAGGGCTGCTCTCTTGATCTGAGTATTTATCTGTTCAAGATTACAACAAAAGCTGTGTAACATATTCATAGAATTGTTTGGAAGTGACCTTAAAAATCACCTCATCCTGACTCCCCCTACCACAGGCAGGGACACCTTTCACTAGACCAGGTTGCTCAGAGCCCCATCCAACCTGTCCTTGAGCTTTCAGTGACAGGGCATACACAGCTTCTCTGGACAATCTGTGCCAGTGTGTCACCACTCTCACAGCAAACAATTTCTTCCTAATATCTAATCTAAACCTACCCTCTTTAGTTTAAAACCATGTAGGTATTAGAGTCCCTTTACCAGCATTATGAAAAGGACTTCAGTCTTTAGAAAAAAAAATAAATAAATGAAGAACAACTCTTGGGATCATGAAAGGCATCTTACTTGCTGCAATTAGAGAAGTTTTATATGAGGTCATTCCTGGAGTTACATGCCCCATGGTGGGCATGACTTATCTTACTACCCACTTTCTCAAGATGGGAACTTATTTTCCAGGCCCTGTTCAAATGCTGCACTAATCTGTATCATGGGATAAGTCACCTACTACCCCCTGCACTGGAGAGAGCTCTTCAGTGTAATTTCCTTACAGCATGGCTCAGCAGGATAAATCAGGGTGCTGAATGCTAGGGAGCAGGGATACCTCCTGCCCACTTCTCACCTGCTCAAAGCCTGCAGGCAAGATAAACACTTGACATTCACCTTAAAGTGAAACATAAAGTACATATGGGAATTATATGCTCTTTGAGATGACACAATCTGACTGGAAGCTGTAGTTCCTTGGTCTAGAGGACCAAGAGGTCCCCTAGAGAAAATAAAACAAAACACCTTGGTCTAGATCTGTAATATATTTTAGTAAAATGGGCCCTAAAATAAGGATTTCTTTTAAACTTTCAATCTACAAAAAACTTGAACTGAATTTAGAGTACTCAAGTTACTTTATAAGAGGAGCTACTGCAGCTCCAGTTCCTGCCACACTCTGTAGTTACACTTCAGTGCTAACACTAATTTTATTGAGACATGTACACCCCACAGAAACCACATTTTGACAAAGGTATCTGAATGGTGTTATTAAGGTTTCATATCAAAAACTTTACTTGCTCCTTTCCTATCAAGATGAAAAGGAAAACACTCTGAAGCTCCAGGATGAAGTGCATCCTTCATTATTAAACAAATAATTTATGCAGTAAGAGAGAGAAATTGAGAAAACAGTTGAAGAAAAAAGATTGTATTTAATATTTAAGCACCTAAGGCTAGCACTGCTAGGCAAATTACATGATGAATTTTACTGAAATAAGACATAATTTAAGTAAAAAGCCAGAGGAAAAAATGCTCTCACTTTCCAGAGGCAATGAGGTATTTTACTATACAAAGCCTGAAAGTTCAAAATCATCTGCAGATCTTTCCCTCTGCACTGTGATCTCTGCTCAGTGTTGGACATTCACTAGTTCACTCTGTGTGTTTTTGTTTTTCAAATGGCCAAGGAAAAGTGCATAACCATCTTTAAAGATTAAGAACTTCTTGCACCTCTCTTGCCACATTTGAGTAAGATGTTCAGCCATTTTTCAAGTCATTCTGATACATGGTGAAGGTTTGGATGTGTTTTCCTCTGCATCTACATCCTGGGCCGGAAACTGATCTGTGAAGTTAAAAATTGTTCCCCCAGAGTCTGTGTGAAAAAAGAAAGAGAAAACCATTAAACATGGTATAGATGTCTGCACAAAATCCTGAGTTCCTTTTGGTTATCAGGATTTTGGCCTGGGATGTAAACCTTATTCAGAATGTTCCTTCCTCATCCCTGGTGAACATTCAGATATGTGGAGGCAAGAGTTACTCACTTTGTACAGCACAAACCATTTCCACAGCCTGATTTTGGTCCTCACTAGGTTGCAACCATTCCTATGAAAAAAACAGCACCATCAAATACCTCACCTGGAAATTTGATCAAGAAGATACACTTGAACTTATTTTAAAAGTCCATACAGTCCACTCCTCCTAACACGTTTCAGTTTGAATGTTTAAAGCAGCCTTACCTTACTCACTCAGTATCTTTAGTCAGGAACATCTGTCTTGTGGCCCGCACCCTTTAATCCCTTACCAAACCATATGGTTGGATGCACGTGTTTAATAATACAGCATCAGAATTTCTCTAGTAGAGAAGTAGTTGGTGTTTGTTTATTTATTTATTTATTTACTGAGCTCACTTTGCAAAGATGCCATGTGCCCCCATCACTTCAGGCAGAGTCCTTATGAATGAGGAGTAAATGATATATGTCAGCACCACTACACTTCACACACAGCACAGGAGTTATTTTTATTACTGAATTTGAAGTCCAAGAGTGTAAGTACCAGTAAGTCTTTGTAATGCTGCACCAGAAACAACTGTTGGCTTAAAGATGAGAGCAACAGTTTTTGAGGATAGCAGGAATTTATGGGAAATGAGGCCACAGTAGCTTCAGCAGAAATGTTTTGGAAAATAGACATAACTTACATCTTACAGGAAACTGTAACTAAGAGGAGATAATAAAGGAAAAAATACAAGAAATATAAAACTCTTCCCACCTAATTTCTTAGAATTAGTCCTGCATGAGTGAGGTAGGAGCTGAGACTAGGTTTATAGGAGAAAAACACACCTTCTCCACAGTTTCTTCCCCTCCTACTCACACTTAGTAGAAATAAACTCGTATGCCAGGCTCCTCACTCACCATCCCAGTTACACTGTCATAGCAGGAGCAGTGTGGAAGACTCCGGCATCCCAAGTAAGCCATGGCCAGTACAAAAAAGGCACTGCAGATGGATACAGCCAGCATGGCTATGTTAGCACCCTTGACAACTTTATTGAGTATGAACCTCTGCAAACAGAAAAGGAGATGGTAAAGCCATATTTAAAAAGTGACGCTCTCCACCAAAAAATAATCTCATGACTGCAAGAATGCTATGATCGCATGATAGGAGAGTCAGTGTTATTTAAGGTTTTTCTGTGTTCTGAAAAACAAACCAAGTATGAACCTCAAACAGAGCAAGCAGTGAAATAAGGCTGTTGATTAAATGTGAGATGCTACTCAACGGCATTGGGTTTGGAAATAGCTTTGACAATAAGTAAAAACCCAAGGAATTGCTGCTCTTCTTCACACTGAATATGAGAAACATCCTCTTGCTGCACTGCACCTTATAGAAGCCTGACATTTTGATTTGTCCTTCAATAAACTAATCATCAGCTTCATCTATCTGGAATACCTTCACCCCCACAGCAAGCAATTGTTTGTAGATTGGAGATACAAAAGGGCATCATTCCTTCTCTTCAGCTTTACTGTGGAGGATACACTTGAAATAAGACCAGGTTTAACCAGCTGCCCTGTAACTGCTGTAATTTTATCACCTGATGTGCCTGCTGGAAAGATTTGAACCTTGCAACCACTGTCTCAAACCAGGCCAGGTATACTCTCAACACCTTTCCCTGAGCAGTACCAGTATTTTTTCATGGCTCAGCCCACACCACCTCTTTGCACCAAGAAGCAAAACCAGCCAAACCTGACCTAGAAGTCTGGTTCTGTTTGTAAGCAGACAGGCTTCCTCCCTCCCAGGATGTCTATCTGGGCTTGTTGCCAGCAGAACTGGGGGTCAGACAGGCCCCTAGACCTAGCTGCAACAACATCTGTCACTGTTTGCAGATTAAAGGTGTCATGTTCCCCATAAATAATCATGATATCAATACTTACAGTATGGATAACATGGACTGGGGCAGAACTCAACTCCTCCTCTTCACCATAGTTCAGTGTGAAGAAGCTATAAACTATTATAATGAGGATGGCAACACAAGAGAATATGGAAGCAACTATCAGTACATTCACCTAGATAGACAGAGAATTTTAGTGAGAAAAAGAAATGGAGCAGGAATTAAAGCTGTCCTTTGGCAAATACAAAGCATTACAGGTAGCCTTTGACCTACCATAACGCTACAACGTCCCCAGTAACAACAGTCACTTGCAGAAGTAGAGGTTTTCATAAAACTGAGCTTCTGAGCTACAGGTGAGTCCTGAATATTAATCAGAGGTGCTGTCTAAAGACTTTGTCTTAGAGATCTCTTACATACAGTATCATCCCTTGGAGTTTACACGGCTGGAGAAACCTGCCTAGGAAATGCAAACCTCTTAACTAATTTCATATTTTAGTGTACAGTGCTTAACAACATGAAGGACCACCAAAAGAAAAGCATTGAAATGAAGTGTTTTTACAGATTTTTGCATTTTATTAGGCCCAGTGCCTGTCTGCTGCAGCAGAAAGCAAGGTAACACTGCATCCTCCTCTTGCTTATGAAGACAGCAGCTTTTGTGATGATAACTCAAAGAAATAAGCTCTTAATTCTTTAGGAGGACCAGTCAGCTCATTCCCTCTTCAAACTGTTTTTGATTGCCCCAACATTTTGCCCCTGCCCCATACACACAAACACCCATCTACCCCTCTGGCTTACAAGAACTGGATTCTTCCTCTGCGAGGAGAACAAAGCTAGGACGCCTGGGACTCCCATCACCTGTGGAGCACAAAAGGAGTTGGCAGCTTGGGAGACTAGCATCAGATTCAGAAGATAAACTGCGACAGAGTAATGAAAAGCCCGTGATTTCAAGGCTTGGATTAGAGTAACTACTGTATCAGAAATGGGAAAATAATTGCTCATTTTTTCAGTTTTCCTCATTTTCTCTGTAGCATCTCCTGGGGGCAGGACATGGGTGACATGTATCTTGCCCACTTGCTACTTGCACAGCCTTGTTATGGCTGACCAGAGCTTTATGGGTCAGGCAAAATAATGAAACCTATTGAGTAAGTTTGATTAACGTGCTAAAAATGCATGTTGCTTTCTCAAGTCCATATGCGTCTTGTAGAGGAAAGAAAGATACTAATGAAAGGAGATAGGCAGCCACTGCACTGGAGAGAGCTCTTCAATGTAGTTTCCTTGCAGCATGGCTTAGCAGGATAAATCAAGATGCTGAATGCCAGGGGAGCAGGGATACCTCCTGCACACTCCTCACTGCAGTACCAAAATTAGGGGCACTGTGCTATGGGACAGAGATCATCACCTAGATGTTCATCTACCTGAAGAGAGGATGAAGTGTTCCCTTCCTAATCTTTGGTGGACTCTCTGTGGTCACTATGCTTCTGCAAAAAAACCTTTGTCGATTGTCACTATAGCCCCATTTTCTACATTATCCAGCAGAAATGTATTTGATTTAGTTCCTTCAGAGGAAAGTCTGCTTGCACTCTTCTGCTTATATAATGATGAGGAGACTTTCATTAACTGACTTCAAACAATAAAACAAGGGAAGAGCGGGCAAGAAATCCTGGCTTCCCTCCCACCCCCAATAAGAGTACGAGTAGGTAGCAGTGGGGGAAAAAAACCACTACAAAACAAAGCATAGAAAATATAGTACAAGTTTACCATGCCAGCCCAAACTGGAGCTCCGGTTTTGCCCAGCTGAGACTCTGTTCTGAAAATGCCATCTATGAACCCACTGGTGACACAGATGGTGCTGAAGGCTATCTGGAACATCCCCAGCACGACCATGTTCCTCTGGTTAAAGATGAAATATCGATACCGATCCATTCTGCTCTGATTCCCACATTAACCCCTGAACACGGAGATCGGCGAGGTGTGCCAGGGCCTTCCAGGGTCGGGAGAAGGGCTCTTCCTAAGCAGGAGAGAGAGAAGGGACAGGATCATCAGCACTCCTCGGGCATCGGTTGGTGCGCAGAGCCGGTACCAGGAGTGCAGGGCTCACTCCTCAGTGTCCGAAGGCAAGCCGTCTTTTGGGAAATCCCTGGGGCTGCTGCGTGGCAGGTGACTGGGACACCATTCCCGACGTTTCTGGAGCGGAATGCGCTATCGTCACCTCAGAGCCCACCACTGACCTTCTCCCTTCGAGGTTTCTGTTGCCCACAGAAATGCAGGGAGTGCTCAGGTTCTCTCCCATTTGGAAGTTAATCTCCGCACCTCTCCGGGAAGGCGCTGCTGCTCCCTTTGGGCAGCCAGCACCGAGCCCCGATACTCCCCGTGGCTCTTTCCGGTAATCGCATGCCCTCTGCAGGCTCAGCTCTAGCTCCGTCTCCCGTGTCCTCCCGTGTCCCCTTGTTCCATTCCGATCCGGCTGGCCGGGAAGCGCCATACCCGCTGCGCCCTCACCTGCAGCAGCACCGACCCAGACGACACTCCCCGAGAAGCGTCGGGAGAGCTCCTGCTCCGCGTCCGGGGAAAGGAGTTTCGAGCCGATGCCAAAAGAAGCCGGGGAGGCCGGGAGAGCCTGTGCCGTGCCGCGACCCACGTAGGAACGCGGCTACTCCGCCCACCCCCTCCCGCCTCGCCTGCACCCGGGAGCGGCCGACCTGCCCCGGGCACCCTCGGGCTCCCGGAACCGGGCACTCCACCCATCCCTTCTCCACAGCAATTGAGCCTTTTCCCCTCCCTACAGCTGTAAGTGCTGCTTCACACGATATCGTGTGCAATCACACGTGCAATTCTGTGAGCTGGGGAAAGCGGCACAGGTTTGTGAGGAATAGTGACTCTTCAGGATTTTGAAAAAGTTTAATAGGAAATAAAACAAGAGGCGAAAGTCCAGCCTTGGGGTGTTCCTGGCAAACAGCCAAAGAACACACTGTATATTTGAAACTGTTTGTCTTTATACTGTATCATTCCTGAGGGTCATGCATATTCATATGTTTTATTATGCAAACTTCATTGGGAACTCCTAATATTCCAGGTTCTCTTCTTGCTTGATTTTTAACCTCTGACCTGACTGCATGATATTCTACAAATAAGGTCTTCCCATGTTCTTATCCTGTTATTTCACACTCTGGACGCTTATGTGTCAGTCCATGTTGCAATCCTACTCTCGGGGGACCCCTCTGTCCCACCCCCAGTGGTGAGAGCCCCGCTCGTCTCGGGACGTAGGCGGCGGAGGGAGTCCTGGAGTGGATACAACACGGACTCAAAGTATCTGCAGGGAGGTCACAGCCAATGGGAAGGGGGGGGAGGGAAAGAAGGTTTTCAGGTAGGAACTAACATTACACAAACCAGAGGCGAGTTTTACCCTTGGGAGATACCAAGATTTTTTTAGATGCACTACAACAAGTCCACAGATGTAAGGAAAATTAGTGGTTTTGCACCATTCTTTATGTTTTCATGTTGGTTACATAGAGGTATTTTTAGTCTCTATTTTTAACAGTTTGCTAATGTCTATGACAATGTATTTATCACATTACTGTTCATATAAACTACACAATGTATACATAAACTGACAGATTATACTATACAAAAGCAGTTAAAAGTAAGTATAAATTGTACTATACCAAAATACTTGTGATACAAAAAGTTAATCTATAAATGTGAAAGCCAGTATTATATTGTCACCTACAACAGGTTGCTCAGAGGTCTTGTTGGATGCCACATCACTGAAAGTGTTCAAGGCCAGACTGAGGCCTTGAATCCCAGGGATGGGGTTTTGAGTAACCTGGTCTAGTGGAACGTGTTCCTGCCCGTGGTGGGAGAGCAGAACTAGATGAGAGGCAAAGATTCCCCTGGCACATTGCTGCCCACTCTCTGTTGGAAAGAGCAAAAGACCCTGCACTGTTCAACAGAAAACAGCTTGGGAGTGCTGTTGATGCAGCATGAGCCAGCAGGTGCCCATGTAGCTAAGAAGGCCAAGGGCATCCTGGCCTGTATCAGGGATAGAGTAGACAGCAGGACTAGGGAAGTGATCATTCTCCTTACTTGGCACTGGTGAGCTACACCTTAAGTGCTGCTTTCACTTCTGTGCTGCCCATTTGTCTCTGTTTTGGAAAACAGGTGTCTGCTAGGGAAGGCAGAAGCCTCCCTTGGAATGAAAATGTAGACCCTCTTCCTGCAAATTACTATAATTTTGAAATCAAGGGGCTCTCAGGCAGAGATCTGGGGATAGGAATAACAGTTCTTTACTAGTATAACCAGGCAAACAAACAATAACTACAGTGTTAGCAAGAAAACAGAACCAGGGACCCCGTGACAGCTTTCTCAGCTGAGACAGGAAGAGATGGAGGGGAGGCTTTGTTTCACAAACCCCTCGGGCGGGCAGTCCCGGTGCTCCTGCAGGCCTCTGAGGAACACTCAGCTGGAACAGCAGGAATGAATTGAGATCCCAGGCCGGTGGCTGAGGTGTATCAGCAGCTCCACAGTGGTGGCTGGCACTGCCACATGTCCTGGCAGAACAGGTTCTCAAGCACCCACAAAGTACCCGCAGTCAGGTTTTCCCTACAACTAATGGGTAAAAATTCCACAAGTGAGCCAGAACTTTTAGAAGAAGGACACCTAACCCCCAACACCATTTTATAAAGGATTTTGAGGTGCTGGATTGTGTCCAGAGAAGGGCAACAAGGTTCATGAAAGCTCATGTTTTCTCACACATAGAAAACATGTTTGAGAGAGCTGGGGTTGTTTAGTCTGAAGAGGAGGCTCAGGGAGAACCTCATCACTACAACTCCCTCAAGGGAGGCCATAATAAGGTGGGGGACAGTCTTCCCTGCCATGTCTGCAGTGAGAGGACATGGGGAAATGGCCTTAAACTGAGACAGGGGAGATTCAGATTAGGTATTAGAAAAAAACTTTCACTCTTAGGGCTGTCAGGTGTTGGAAGTTTTTCCAGAGAGGCTGTGGAGTCATGATCCCTGGAGGTGTTCAAGAGGCATCTGGGTGACGTGGTTTAAGAGTTACAGTGGTAGTGAGAGGTGGATGGTTGGACTGGTTGACCTCAAATATCTCTTCCAACCTTGATGATTCAACAATTCTATGATTCTAACATCCCCCCAGGCACTTCCAGCAAAATCCTAACAAACACATGACTAAAACCTGCCTATCCCTGAAACATTTTTTAAGAAATCAGCTCATATGTCTGATAAAATTTGTTTAAATAAACTCACTGCACCTTCGCAGTATACTGTGTTATTACACCAGGGCAGGACTGGAATACAGCTAGGCCGGCTAGCACATGGCACCATCCACAATCCCAGTGTCATCTTCCACAGAGCTTGCAAATACACACCAAGCACACATCCTTCTAGCCCATAATGACTGCAAAAGTTCAAGCGACAATGTCACTTCTGCATCCTTGCAGAGAGGGGAGGGCAGAGTCTTTGCATATCTACACCCAGCACAGACAAGAGAGGCTCAGTTATCTCAGCAATTGTGATCACAGAGGAGGGGAAGGCAGGGCAGGCACCGAAAGTGCTGCCCCCTTCCTCACTGCTCACCCAGCAGGATGTGAACATGGAATTAGGAGACAGAGCAATAGGTTACCTGGAGGGGAGGCACCCTGCTGCACCTTCCCACTGCCTCAAAGGAAAATATATCACACTTTAAAGCAATAGTTAACGACACTTTGGTTGGGATGTTCTTCCATACCACAATACAACTGAAATCTATGTTATGTGCATTGAAAAAGAAGGGTAAGAAAAGCAGCAGAGGGGCCAGAAAAAACCAACATGTGGCGTCAGATGTTCATTCACTAGTTACATAACATGGCCTAGATGAGATTAACTGTGTGAAATCCTGCTCCTGTGCATCAGCAAAAACTATGGTCACACAAGACACAAGGAAAGGGGAGAGGTCAGAGTATGCTCAAAACTGTGACACACAAATAACAAGCAGAGACAATGGCTTTGTGTTGAGTATTTTATTTTTGCATTGCCTTCATAGCGCAATTAAAGCAATTTTTAAAATCACTTATTACAAATGTTTGTCAAGTCTGTTTTTCACCAGAAACACTTTTCTTGCTTCCTTGCACATACGCCCAGACACACTATAAAAACCTCATTCATAACATCAAAGGAAGGGCATTCATCATTCATGTAAACATCTTTCTTAAGAGTTATCCATTTTTTAAAAGTCATGAATAAACTTACAGATGTTCAGTAAGGCTCATAGTTCGAGTACAAATGTCATAAAACACCTATCAAGTACTGTACACAAGTTAAATACTCTGGGGTTAACTGTTAACACATGTATTAGCTTACCCCAAAGATTATTCTTTAGCACTTAGTTCTTCAGAACAGAGACACCCAGTAATTATGGGCTAAAGAGTATTAAAACAGCAGAAGGCCCAGCAGAAACCGTTAAGTAATACAATTTTAGTCTGGTTCTTAGTGTTAAATTTGTTACATATGCGGTAGGAAAAGTTTTCTAGAAAGGAATCTACAGAAAGGAGGGATGGTTCATTTGTACGATATCATGAAGAGATAAGCTAAGAGGTACGTCTTGAAAATGTGACTAGCCTTGCTATTGCAGTTATTTATGGTGGCTGCATGTAATGCTGCATAAATATTTCCCCAAATAGAAGAAATGATAATTTGTAATTGTAAGGATCATTTGTCGCATCTCCCCTTAGAAAAAAAAATAAAAAAATTATCTACTTACTGGTATTCAATTACACGTGCATCTTACAAAAAGACATCCCTTTAAATCTGGTTTAGATTTTACTGGAACTTTTTTGTTTAAATATTCATTCATGAAAATATTTCATACAAACATCATTTTACATACAAATGTTAAAATTTGTGAAGCAGGTATTCCCACACTCATGATTTTATGGCTTGAATATTTAATTGCTTGTAATTTTTGTATAGATATTTCTCCTAGGGGAAAACAAGAGAGTTAAAATAAAATGGTAAACAGAAAAAGGGCAGGAAGTTCCAATGCCTGAAGACACAGGAGGGTCCATTCAAAAGAGAGTGATCTTAGTGTTCAAAACCTTTGATCTGGGGCAAGTAAACATACATTTAATCTTGCACCTTTGTTTTTCCTCTTTAAAAAAAAATCCCTTATAAGATTGTTTAGAAATTCTTTGTCCAAAAATATAGTTCTCCTGTTTCCATTACATGAAGCAAAAGGAACAAGTTCACTGCAGGTGAAGCCCATTTCCACTCACAGATGAAGCTGCTCCCATGCCTGCTTTCCTCGCTTAGATGCTTTTGGCACATAGCAGTGCAGTGGAACTGAGGCGCAAGCAGCACCCTTGCATGTAAGGAGATACTTCAGTGCCATTGTTTCTAAAGCAGTTTGGCTTTTTTTAGTGCTTGGAAGTGAGGTCCTCAGGCACCCACAGCTCCAGGAATTCTGCCGGCCCACAGGAGAACACAGCAGCAGATACTTGGCTTTGTGTAATGTTGCCTCATCACAATGACAGTGTTTTCCAAGAGACCATCAAATTGAGTGAAAGGACACAAATCAGAGGTCTCTGGGACAGAAGCTATACCGCTGGCACAACCCAGGTGGGGAGCAAGGGTTTGACTGGAGGACAAGGGCAGACTGGGAAGGAAACAAAAAAGTGGCAATTTCCATAATTTCTGAGTTTCTCTTACCATACAGGATATGTTGGCTACTCTGCTCCTCCAGTGCCTGACAGAGGGTGAGAAATCCCCATGCTACAAGACCCTGGGCAAAAACCCACTGCCATCTGTGTGTAACACTTCTGTATCTGGAAAGGCTGTGCCAAGGAGAAGCCTGCCTAGTTGCTCCCAAAACACACAGCCTCACCCCATGGCCTCCCAAAGCTCCCAAAAACCTCCCCAGGAGCTTCACCTGATAAAAAGCATGGATCATACTAGGAGGTATCGTGGCAACTATGGAAAAAGTCAAAAAGCTCTCACAGGTGAAATGCCACGTCCATGTATTTCCTTTTACTTTTTCAGCAGTCAAGATTTACAGGTATTTATGTAGGGAAGTTTTTTTATAATCACTATTACAAAACAAGGAAAAAAAATCCTTTTCAGGTTTGTTAAAAGAAAATCAGGATCCCCCAAAAGTAAAATTACAGCACAAGACTCAACTTCAGACCCCCTCCATGGCCTAAGCCCTTTTCCTTTTCCTTCTTATCCAGTGGAGTGACCTCAGCAGCAGGCAGCTCTCAGCTGCAACTTTTCTGGCTCTCCAAGAGTAGCCACTTCCAGAAAACAAAGCTTCTATATTTTTGGTGACAAAACCCTGTGCTGCCATTGCAAGAAGATTCAGTTCAGAGTCTGTTTTTTGAAGAGATGATCAGCAGCCTCCTAATAGAGAGTGATACAGGCTTCTCATACAGGAGCTCAAGTAACTGACAGAGAAGCCATGTGCAGTACTGCAGACCAAAGGCAGATATTGGGAACTGATCTGTACCTGAAAAATGCAACAATTCCAGGTTTTTCCTATGCTACTCTATAGTCACAATGGGCATGCTGAGAGCCAACCACTCACTCAGGCTCAGCTGACAGTCACCAGCTCTCCTCCCAGCTTCTGTGCCAATAGGAAAGGTCTTTGGCCAGACTGTAAGAAGTGGAGCTCCTTTACTTATTGCATTCTCACCAGTAGTCAGCTGCATTCTACAGACCTGAGAAGACTGCTGTGCAAGGTGATGCTTTATCTGCCCCAAATGAAAACCATGGTTGGGTGTGGGTCTTTTGTCTATGGATATGCCATCACACTACCAATAAGGAGCTTTGTGAAGCTGGTCCTGCTCTCTAGGTGAGTTCCAGAAACACACTAACGTGTTAAGGCATTTATCTGGAGTTCTATAACTAACCTGTGTTTGAAGCACGGGATGTCAACTCATACCTCTGAAGGACACTGAGCTCTTTCACCACCCAGTGGCAAAAGCCATCTCAGCCATCTCCACTCTAACAGACTAGGAAGAGAGAGAAACCAAGAGTTAAAAGGCTTGGTCCTGAATCAAGCCAAAGCAACTCCATAATCACAACTTTTATAGAAGGTTGATTGCTTAAGAAGGGAGCTACAGAAGGACCAACAGATTTTACAGAGCTGAGAAAGACAGCAGAGGTAACAGAGACAACAGCCACAGCTGTGGCATGCTACCTACCAGGCTACACACATGTACAGAAGAATCTGCTAGACTCACCAAATCTTTTGAAAAGACACAGGACACATCTCAATGCCTTTTTTTTCCTATAATTTCCCTATTTTAGGATACAATCTTCAAGCCTGATGCACAAAGAGCACCTATATTCAATTTACCTCAAAATCAGGCAATATGAAGACTGACAAATCTATTAAAATGTAAGCAACTCCACACAAAGAGGAGATTAGCAGAGGAATCAGAGACTGCTTAGAAATGAAGGGAAAGGAGCTTTAGATATTAGCACATTTTAAACACAATTCCCCAGTGAGCACAGAGACCAGCAGTCCAAAGCAGGTTATCAATATTGTGGAAGGAGATACCATCCATTCCCAGCAGGGTTCAGTCACATCTTCCCTCTGCTCTTTCCTGCACCTAAACTCAAGCTTCAGCTTTGCAAACTTCATGATCTCGGCACAATAAACCCCAAGATACACATAAGAGCTCCCTCCTTTCCTGCAAGTGGTTGATAACCTAAAGTAACGACCCACAGGCAGGTAGGGAAAGATGAAGTCATGCATTTCTTTTTGAGAATCATCTACTGAAGCTGAGTGGCTGACTGACCTTTGCCACCTCTCCCTCACCTGTGGTTAGCTCTATCTCTGCACACTCAAGTGAGTCCCTGAGCTGTCACCTCTGTTGTAGACGAGACACAGAGCTGCTACCTGAGTGTCCAGCACAAGGAGATGGGAGGTGTCCCAGCTCATGTACAGATCACTGCTGAAAGAGTGTCACAATATCCTGAGCCTGCCTGTCCCCTGCCCCAGCACATGCACAGACTAGCTTCTGTGCAAACTGAAATGATAAGGTGATGGAAAATGCTTGTGAGCCGGTGCAGGGACTAAACAGAGCCCAAGGTTAGAGCCCCAGGTTCTTATGAGTAACTCCTAACTTTCCTCAGGTACCAAAGCAAGGATTCTCAGACTGAACGTAACAGCAGCCTCATCTTTCTACCTGCAAGTACCAAACAAATTCTCCCTGCACAGCACCCCAGACACCTCCAACAGTTCAAGCAAACAACCAAAATGTATTGCAGTAGAAAGGTAGGTCTAATTCTCAAATCATTTATGTTACATATATACAAACTTTTTAAAACCACAAACATTTAAACAAAATGTTGCAAATGCATTTGAGTTTCCCCTAAGCTGCCAAACCCAAAAGAGAACATCAGAGTCCCAGAAAGGCTCCAGTATCCAGACCAAGACAAAACATTATTTCTCTCTTATACAGGATTAGGCAAGACCAGAACAGCATCTGAAAACCATACAATTTCCCTACCCCTGAAAAACCCCAGCACACAGCCCTGCAGATGAATATTCACAAGCCCCCACTGTTGGCTGCAATGAAGCTATGGATTGACTGCTGTTTATAAATACGAGCATTAAGTGATGTTTTTACATTCATTGTTTGTTTTTCAAAGACAATCTTTTAACATCTTTTCTTTCTTTAAAAAAAAAAAATCTTATTTTGATACCTCATATTATATTAATTCACTGTGTCATAAACCAGAACTACTAAAAGATGGCTATAAGGCTATGTTGTTCTGTCAAATGAACACATAGAAAAGATACAGATCTCCTTCACCAAGGTCTGCCCCCAAATACATGCACCTCCTTTCAGAGAATCCACAGGAGATCCAAGTATCTTTTGCCTTGAGAATTGGCCCCTTGAATACGTGAAATACACAAACCAACTTATGAACACTGATGCAAATAATGTGCTTGCCTTCCAGAACATGTACTTCTGGAAGTCTTTCAACAGCAAACCTGTCTTCTCCTTTTCACAAAATCTTCATGCAAAGAATAGCTTCATTTGCATGTCATAATAATAAATTAAATAAGCCAGCCGTACAGGCTAGATAAAGATTAGGTTCAGACATGTTGCTATACTATTTAGAGCCACAGAGACCAACACACAGCACTCTCACATACACACACAAGCCTTTCCACTAGTTAGAAAGGATTTTCTCCTGCAAAAGAGGATTTGTAGAAAGAGCAACGTTCAGACAAGAGGAAAGGGGAGTTAAAACCCAGCCTCCTATATAATAATAAATAAATTGCTCTATTGCAAGATTCAGATCAAAGGTTTAAAAAGGCAAAATTATGCTACTATTAGAGAATATCAAAATATTACTGTTATAATCACAAGTGGCATATATGCAAAATGCAGTTGCACAATAATGCCTAGGCAGATAAAGAGCAACACTAAGTCTGCCGACTAAAAGTGAACGATACACTCATTTTAGTTTCTTTCTAGTCTTTTGGCATCTTTGCATGTGCAAAAGCAGAAGCTACCAAAGAATACCACATCTTGTATAGAATATTAAATAATTTCTTCAGATAAGTGCAATGCTAGCTAATTTTTAAATCTGCTATGAGTAACACAGTCAAACCTAGTTAGTATCCAAGGAACTTATCTCTTAACACAGAATGCAAGGTTATGATGCAACAGCATGAACAATCCCTGGTTGTCCAGTTTTCAGTATAAAGGTAGTGCATAGATCCAAGTTTCTGTTTCAGTTTGCTGAGTGGAGAAGGCCCTCCCATGTCACTTTTGCTGGGCAGCCTGGAAAGCCTTCAGTTCCAGCTGGTACCACTCTGGTGCTTCAGGCCCATTCTGCCCCACAGGGTTGTGATCATACCCATAAGCCACTGTCAATTCCTCATCCTTCTCCACAGCCCTGATGGTACGGATACACTTGATGGGCCCAAAACGAGGATGAACAAACCTAGGAAGAAAACGTATTTGCTAGGCTCATCTGTCAATTCACATATTCTGCCAGCCCCTTTTACAGTTCCAGAATTCATTCACTTCAGAGCAATACTGCATAACTGAATTACATATTTGAATCAACCTCATAAAGATTTAAGAATATGAGCAAAAACACTGATTTATCAAAGCATTGGTAGTTCAGTAAATACAGTGCAGTTCTAGCCAAGCTATGATTTAGAGAGCTGTAATTCTGCATTTTACAATCAAGAAATAACTCATAAAGTTCATGACAAAACTAACAAGCTGCAAACTTCAAGAAACTCCATGGTCTAAATCCCAAAAGACCTCAAGCACCCATAATGTTAGCACATTTCCAACTCAGCCTAGGTGAGCAGAAACTCCTCCAGTGCCTCAACTCTTCACTTCCAGCCTACCATTGGTCCTCATCCAGCTGCCAAGAGATCCCCTGTGAGCCCAGACAGCCAGGCTGCAGCTTCTACCCTAAAACACAGGGCTGTACTTACAGCTCATAGGTGCAGTTAGGAGTGAAGGAATGGTTGGCCTTATGCCCCAGCGAGGCACAGTACTTGGCAGCGTGGTTGTAGGGCTCTGGCACGTCTATGACTGTTTCATCATCCAGGGATATTGTATTTCCATTGAGAGCCCAGTCTCTGCTGTCTACCTAATTTGCAAGGCAAAAATCCAATGTCTGTGTGGAAGGGTCAACTTTGTCAGCAGTCTGAAACCCAACATTCAAAATATATGCAAATAAAGATTTTCATGGGTGCATATCATTAAAAAAACAACTCACTTTTTAAATCTATACATAGGACAGCATGCACTTTCTTTCAATTAAATTCTATCATGTTAAATCAAGGGTGGGAAGTTAGTGGGTCAAAGATCCTACTATGAGAAGAAAATTTTAAGAGGAGCAATGAAAATTCAGACTGACTTTTTTCTTTTCTTTACCTCCTGGTGTGTAATTCGCACTCCATTATAGAAGGACATCACTGTACTAGCTTCTGCTGCTATTTTTGAAAACAATCCTTCTCCAGCACTGGAAATGAGAGAGACATCCACATACACCCTACAAAAGGAACAGGACATGGAATTAGCAGCTGGCTGCAGTTTTAGTTTTCAAGAAGTACAACACTACTGGATAAAGCCCAATACTTCAGTATAACAATAAAGCAAATAACAGTAACAACACCACCTCCTTCTTCTTCCAAACCTCTATATGGAACTCCTTCCCTTCCTCTCTTCCACATGTTCTCTATTTTGTCAAAACTGAGATTTGGTGGGAAGTTTGGGCTGACTTGGATAATTGCTATTTTTTTTAAAGCGACAATCTCCTATTACTCCACAATGATGGCTTCAATTCAGGAACACCCTCAATAACATAACTGAACCCCAGAAGTCCCCACCAAGCTGTGGTTGCTGGTATGTATGTGCACTGAGGTGTCGTTCCGATTTGGAACGGCTATAAAGAACGACAAAACTCTCAAGGGAGTTTCAACACGAGAATTCTCTGGTTTATTCCTTCAGGCCTGTCTTATAGACAGATACGCGGAAAGTACAGAAAGGAAGCTCCTATTGGTTAACAAAGTGCTACATTACCATCATTGGTCAGGGGCACACTACCCCCCTGACTCTCTCCTGCAAGAGAAAACAAGAGGACTGCAAAACAACACCTGCAAGGCTGTTTAGTGTCCCTGAGAATTGTTTTAATTCCTTCTCATATTTTTCCCAGGCTACTTTCTCAGGCAGCCTGAGGAGCTATGCGGCCTGTAATTTGTACAGGCACTGTGGTTCAGATTTAGCATCCATACTGAGGAGCAAGAGTTCTCATGGCGAAGCACCACATCTTCAAGAACTTGATGAAAATTAAAGCGTTTTATTAAACACTGTAATATTTAGATATTTCAGAGTATCAAAAAGTGCCTACAGTTGAGGTACACACAGGGCTTCCATTTTACAAACCTTTACACATCTTTTAAGTTTTAGATGAGAAAAGGTTTGCCAGATTAGGCCCTAAATGTTGGAACCCTGGGCACAGAGAATTTCATGCTTTCTGTGCTGGCAGGCACAGACCCACAAGAGAACACAGTGTTTGACCTAAGGCCATGGAAAAGGCTTCCAAAATTGACAGACAGAACTGAAACTGTGAATGCGTAGTTTGAATAGAAGTGTGTTATATCACTTGGTGGAAAATTTAGACTTTAAGGTTTTTAGAATAGAGTAATATGTATGCAACAAGATGGAGGTTTTAGGCCATTAACTTACCTTGTTCTTTCTCCTTCTGCTTCATAGATTTTAGTAATATTGTGTGATTGGATAGAAAAATCTGCAGTGCGGAACACAGGTGTTTGGTTATTGGGTTTTAAGTAAAAATAAATTAGTTGCCATTTTATAATTGGGTACTTGACACTTAAAATGCATTGCAAAGAGATACCTGGGGCTTCATTTTCTAGACTGTTAGCTTAGTGTGCAGATGAACACACTGCCTGTGAGAATGTAATATAGATAAAAAAAAATAAACAACTGATTCCGAACATGAAAACCATCTCTTTCACTCATTCATCCTGACCTTGAAGAAAAGAACCCAGAGACATTTGACACCTAAATAGGTAACATTAAAGAAATATGGGGAGAAGAAAAAAAAGCTTACCTCTCTGATTCATAAGGATCAGGAAGAAGGGCATTTGTAGAAATGCAGGATGAAGTAGATTTGTCAAAACTATATACTGGGCCTAAAAATACCAGAAATCAATGAAGGAAATAAACTAATTGGCAGTACTGAGAGTATGCAATCCTTAACTTAATCAAGAGATTCAAAAATTAAATTTTAACGGCTGCAAAAAATAAGTGTTACACTTCCAAAAAAAGGTACTGAACAGAACTGCACCTGTAAATGGCCTTAAGTGAGATACTGCTTCTTGATTATTTTTTTCTCCTCAACATTCTAGAGTAACAGTACTAACACAAAAAGGTAATATATATGTTCTTCAAATTACCAATTTGTAGAGGACTGGATACTCTTTCAAAACTGACCCTCCTAGTGTCTCTAAATAAAATTCAGAAGTAAAGCATGATTTAAGAGGATATATTCAATAGCTCATTTTAAATACCCCCCCCCCAAAAAAAACCCCAAAACTTTATTACTTCAAATATGAAATATTTTTAAGTCCAAATCCTTAAGAGACTTCAGCCAGAAGATAACAGTTAGTAATCAGAAAGAATCCTTGTTACAGTCCTTTATTTTTTGCCATTAATAAGCAACTCAGTGGTACAGCTCTAATTATATTCTTACATCCCTCTCCCAAATGCCAGAGGACTATCTTGGAGGTAGATAAGAAGGAGGTGAAAATAAGATGGGAAAAAATCCCACAGAACAGAATCCTACAAAGTTTGATATAAGACCTTTGCCCCTGGTGTCCAGGATCTGTTCTAGCAGAAGGCAGCTTCCTCCTGAGTGTAACTTCATCCTATTTACAAAGCACAACCATGCTTGATGAAGTTACACTCAGGAGAAAAAACTCAAAACTCTTAATTTAACTTAAAACTCTTACAAAGTAAGTTTAACTTAAAATTTTGATTTGCTATCATAACTGAGCAATTAAAAAAATAAACTCGCATGCATTTGCTTGTCAATACCTTTTCACTGAACTTTATGTGCCTAGTTCATATTGTGAGACAATTTTTGCTGGCAGAGCAATATATACATTAGCACAGTCTCTGCTTGTTACTGCATCTTAACCCACACTCCTCCCAAACATCACATACACCTCAGAACAACCAACCCACTCCAGAACTATAGGTTCAAGCCACTGGAGAAGGCACCACCCCACCCCTATGCACTTCACAGCCACTTTCTGTCAGCAGGACCTGACACACTGAAGGGTGCTGGTGAATCAGACCATTACACAACGGCTAAATCTGGTTCACTAATTCCAATCTCAGCCCAGCAATGCAGGTACCAAACACTGACTAACCCAGCTAACAGAGTTACAATCAAATCAGGGCCTCCCTCTCCTTCTGCAGTTACTTCGCTGAAGAAATACTGTAGCTGTGGCTGTGGCTGTACCACTATCATCAGGGTGAATGGAACAGGTTTTCCATCTGGCACAGAGGGCAGTGGGATGTGTGACAAGCAGGACTGTGCCTATGAGTACAGAAGTGAGAGAAGAGCTGAAGGGCTGTGAAATGCAGTTGGGCAGGACCACGCAGGGGGCACTTCCCATCTGCTCTCAGGACAAAAACCACCATCCTCTCTGCCCAACCCTTACTTGGAAAAAAGGCCTCTCACTAACAGCCTGTGACATCACACCCAGTCTTCAGTGGGGAACATCACAGGAATCAAGCTGTCTGCAGTAAAAGGCTGGTAGCAGGAATAAAAGTTTGTGTTAGCTGAACTTACTGCCTGGTACAACTTCAAATTGAGGTTTCCCATCCTCAACAGCTGTCAGAGTTGCCAATTTTGCTTCTATCATTTCTCCATCTATGAACCTTCCAAAATATGCAGTCTTTCCATCAGGATACACATAGGCTATTTTCTCTCCAGTCATCTCTCCATCTTCATTCACTTCTCCCACAAGGCTGCCTCCATCCTGAGAGCAAGAAAGCAAGAAAGAAAAGACAAAGCATTTAGTTATACTTTACGATCCTTGATGCCTAAGATTTTTAGCTTTTTATCTTTTTCATGCATTTGTAGCTTTGTAGACTGCAAATGTGCAGCTGTAGCTTCTATTACTTTTTCATATTCTTTTCCCTTACAATTAGGAAAAATAAGCTAACATTTTAAACACATTCCTAAAATATTCTCTAGTTTTATTCCAAGAAGAGTACCAACTACAAGGACATTCTGTTTTCCAACCAGAATCTGGACCTGACATAAGAAAAGTGGGGAAAAATAAGCCTGTGGACTACTTCCAGTGGGGCAGAACCTGAGGAATTATCACCTATTCAACTAACCTTTTAACTGGACAATATACAGTTATACTAAGCAACAAACCTTAGAAAATGGTGAATTTACTGTACCCATGTGCAGTTTTCAAGTAAAAAAACCTAAAAGTTTTCAAGTAAAGGTTTGCTTTTATATTCACTCTAATGTTGTTGGGAAGATCTATTTTCTAGGCAACATCCTCAGTAAATGAAAAGGGTTTTCTCCAACTTTTTAAAAATGCAACAGTAAGTTCAGATGTGAAATTATGAAAATGAGGGAGAAACAGACACATGTGGATGAAGTCATTCCAGTTAGGATAAAACTGATTTCCTATGTTGTTTGGAACAGGCAGAACCTAAGGTCTTTCCTTCCATATGACACAAATATTTAATTTCACTTGGTGAAAGCATTATGTGTACAATGTGCAAAAGAAGGACCAAAGCCACATAATGTCCAAGTTTGATTACTATGATACTGTGCTGGAGGAAAAAAAAAAAAGAATTAATGCTACCTTGCCAATTCATGGTACCTCTAAAGACTTGAGCCTACTATGGAAAAATGATTCCTGGAAAAATTATTCCCAGAATGCCCCGCAATGTCAGCTGGTAATCAGTGAGAACAACTGTTTGTGGAAAGCAATACCAACACTTTCCCTCTTCAAGGCTTATGCATTTCAGCTCCAGGTTTTGCCATCTGTGATTTGCCTGCAGCTCAGGTTAGATCTATTTCCAGAAGCGAAGAAATGAGACGCATACATTAGCACAGGTCTAACCACTTGTTAGGGTTAGGAGGTTAGGATTTTTCCTTTTGTTTCTTTCTCCCACCGAATTTTGTCCCATCTGTTGCTACAAAACAGTAACTACCGATACTTAAGAGAACAAAAGATGAGGCTAAAGGGGTGGGGGATGGGTGGGGTGTTTTTTTGGAAGGGCAAAGATACCGAGATTTTTCGCCCGGTGGTGACGGGCTGAGCTCAGCTCCTCCCTCTGCATCGGAGGGGAGACAGGCTGTGATCACTGTGGGGAAAATTCACCACCACTTCAAGGCTCCGTGTCGCGCTGTCTTCTCCTACTCTGAGTAGAGCTCTAATACTGGGAGTGGTCGTTGCACTGAAACCTTATTAACAGTGAACCTCACTGGAAACGCCCCTCACCATCTACTGGGGTGACTGAGGGGAAACCCTGGGACCTCCAGCCCCTCAGAGGGAGCCTCCCTGCTGCAACAGGGGGTTGTGCTGTAACACACCCCCACGCTCCCCACCACCTCCCCGCTACAGCGGCGGAGTTTCCGATACATTTACTAGTCGGGCATCTGCTCATCCCAGCCCACCCGCCATGACCACATGAGAGAGGTGGCTGCGCTCGCGCCACAGCGTCCCCTGCCGGCTGTGCCCGGAACTGCATCGCAGGGGAAAGTGCCTGACCGCCCAGAGAAGGCTGCGGTTGGGTTTCTGGCTCTGCTCTGTTTGCTGTGCTGCTGCTGTTTGTTGCCATGTTTTTTTATACATATATAAATATATATATGTGTATATATATTTATACATATGTGTATATATATCTCTGTGTATATATATCTGTATGTCTATATGTATATGTACACATACATTTAGTAAAGAAGTGTTATTCCTTTTTCTGTATCTTTGCCTGAAAGCCCCTTAATTTCAAAGATAGAATAATTTGGAGGGAAGGGGGTAATATTTTTTCCATTCCAAGGAGGTTTCCATCTTCCTTGGCAGACACCTTTCAAACCTAGACACCACCGGTATTTATTTCAAAAAAGACAAGGAAGATTTGGAATCTCCAAATAACGCCGGGAGCAAGACCAGCAGGTATGATGTGGAAACAAACTGATTTATATCAAGACCACTGTGCACAGGGTCTATTTCAAAGAGACACCATTTTGTTCAAGTCCAAGGATGAAAGAGTTTCAAACATGCTGTAATAGGAAACAGTGAACCTTAAGTTGGGGAAAAAAAATGTGCACATAGTCACAGAGTCAGAGTCATGAGAAAACAATTGGTTCCATGGCAGTAAGTTTTTTGGAACACCTTGCATCTTTTTGTCTGGCAAGACAATAATGATAAACAACCTGTAATTATCCACGTTTCCAAAAGGCACAGCAACACTTTGTCAGCTGGAAGATGAAGCAAGAGATACATGAAGTGTCAGCTGTGTGAATTTTATACACTAGGACTGAAAAAACTTATGGCAGCATGCACCAAACATTTGCTGATACTAATACATTATTAATGGCAAAAGTGTAAACCAGTAAATAAAATGAACACCCAGTGGTGGTAAGCATTTATAAATCAATCTGCAACTAAAGTTTGCACCATATGTAGGACAGAACTAAACTGGTTTTTGATCAGCAGCTTAATTACATGCAGACGTTAACCCCTTCCTAGCATGAGGTAAGATTGAAAGGTGCAACTCTGCAGGGTAAGGCTGAATAGGAATTTTATTTTTTAAAAATTTGCACCAAAAAAATCCCTAAAAACTGTACAACAGTCATTGCCTTAACTAAGCATGGTTGTAAAAGAACATAAATTCAAGAAGATAAAATACTGGTTTGCTTCATTAGCAAATCCCTTGTCCACAACTCCACTCACACAGCTCCCACACCAGTCATATCTGATGTGTTGGGCAAAGCCAGACTTCACAACATATCCTGCAGAAATGGAGACAAAGTCTCTCCTCCTAAGAGCAACAGGTTGCAGTAGCTGGCATGGCTTCCAAACTCCTCACCTGCAGGCAGAACTACAAAGTGGCAAAATCATTAGTCCAGCCTTCCCAAAGAGATAATGCATAAATTATTAGACATCCTATTTCTACATTACATACAAATTATATATAAATGCACTTCCAAGGGCTTGGGTTTCCTGGAAGGTGAAAATGGTGGAGGGCATCTTGCAGCCTGCCTCACTGAATCTCACCTACTGGGCAAACATTCAACACCAAAATCTTCTAACTTTGTGCTGGATTATCCAAAATCAGAATGCCCAGATCTATCCAGATTTTTGGATATCTGGGTCATGGTGGGTATTTGTTTCAGCTGGGGAGAAAAGAAAGGTACATAATTCTACAATAAGGAGAGCAGATGGTCAGGTTTACCGAGTAATAAATCCAACAGACTCCATATCGGATGTTGTCTTTATACTGCCCTTTGAATATCAGCCGCCCATCACTGTCATACTCCTGGGCTGGGCCATTCAGCTCTCCATCCACGTAGGTGCCATGAAGGACCACTCCGTCCTCATAGGTGTAGATTCCTTGGCCTTGCAGGGCATCATCAACGTAGTACCCCTCCAAGGTGCTGATGAAGAAAGAAAGAAAACAGCAGTGGATAACCGTTCACCGCTCAGCTGTGAACCCAAAGCCTCAACACACTGGGACACCAAGGTGAAAACCTGACACTTGTTTCTATGGAGCTCCAAGGGCAGAAAACAACTTACAGCACCCTTTCATCAGTGTGTGCTGCATGGACACAGCATCACTCATCTTAATCACATGCTTACCATTTTCTGTAGGCTGGAATAGTCAGTAAATGGACACTCCCGGTCAAAGAAGTAATTCTTGTTCAAGCAGGCTACTCTCACATTAGGATTTTCTACCTGCTACATGTGGACCTTCACTGACATGTCTCTGAAGAGATGAAATTGAGCTGCTGTACACATGAACTATGACAGGGCACAAACTGCAACCTATCACAGTTCAGCGTCAGCTCCCCAACAACACACTTAGCAGCCATTTGTACAGGCCCCACTAAAAGCAGTAACTTTTCATGTATTTCTCTTAAAGAACATCGCCTGTCAAACAGAACTAGGGCTGCACTTGGATTTAAACAAAGAAATTATTCATTTTGGTTTTGTCTTGCAAAACCTTTATTATCACCATAAAAGAGGGTCTATTCAGGTATTTCTTTCATATGTTAGGATTAACATAAGGGAACACAACCTGTTGAGCTTTTACTTCAGCACACTTAGCTAACAGCCAGCTGTCATCATACACATTATTTTCACTGCATAATTCTTTTCCAGATGCAGACATCTAAGGTATATGCCCAAGTAGTGTTTGTGAGCAAATGACTATACATGTCATGTCTAGATTTACAAGAGCTGTGGAAGGAACGTTTTTTCAGAATTTACTTTCTCATTTCTAAAGCTTCATGCTCGGTTTTTACATAACTTTTGCAAGCTGGATGAGGGTTCCATGAGAAAATACATTACAGTAAAAGCCTCAGTGCTCACCAGATGCAAAACAACAAGGGGCAGGAAAACTATTTTACTTTTCAGTCAAATGGATTTCTTGATCCAGGTTACTGCAGAGCTGCACAGACAGCTATGGCACTACAGCACACAGAAGGATGAGAGAACCACCAGAAATCAGTGCCCTTGCTTAACTATAAATGATGGCACTTTCCTCTCTAATTTATCACAGATCACTAGGTTTGAATTCCATTGTAGTGACAACACACATAGGGTGCACATGTAGGATCACTCTTTAAAAGAAGCAGCCACCCCTAGTTCATGTAATGAAAAACACTAAAAATCCTGTCTTGTTACCTTTAATTGCACTAGTTGAAGTTAAAACATTGCTAAATTACAACAGGGCTTCATCCCTGGAAAGAATATATTTTCTTTTACTGTAACTCAGACTTCTATGTTTTCTCTCTTTGCATTAAGCTCCAAACACAGACCAAAAGATCCATCTCATCTAAGGAAATCAAAAGGATGATACCTTAAGAAAGAAGTCTATGTCCTTCAAGCTCACCTAAAAAGTCAGGTTCAGAAACTCTTATGTTGCTCATAGTTTCCTAGCTATTTTCACCCTGTTCCCACTTCACTTTTTTTAAGCTCTCAAATTATGGTGTCTGCAGCCAGACACAGTAATTGCAACTAAGACTTGACCAGCACAAAGATAAATAGCTTCTGTGTCTTCCATAAGAAAAACCTTTTTAATACAAAACCTGAACTAGTCTGTATTTCTCTGGTTTGCTTCTCAGATGATCATACTTCTGATAAAATAAATTCTATCTAAGTCAAGATTCATCAGATGTACCATCTTCCCATTATCCACTATGCCTAGAAGGGACTGAAGATACTCCTTATCTAAACTATCTAAATTAAACCAGTGATATGAATTGGAGAGGAAAAGACTTACTCCAATATCCTTCCAGGGATTAAGTTAATATCGATACAGAGCAATCCACTTATCTCTTGCTCCCTCCATATTGAAAACTCAGAACTTTTTCCCTAAAAATAATGGTTTTCTAATGTGTTCTGGGAGATGTCAGTTTACAGGAGTTTCCTATTAGGGAAGAAGGGCAGCTCTGTGCCAAGCATGGCTCTCATGCCTGCCTTTATAGTGTGCCGTGTTCTTCAAAGTTCACTCCAGAACCACTGGCACCAAGGAAAGTTCAAGTCCATAATCCAAAACAGGGAGTATGCTAGAGGTGAAACTTCTCTCTCTCTAAGAATATGCTGCAATTTTTTGCATTTTCTTGAAGGGGAAGGAAAAAAAACAACTGATATTTCATCCCAGGTTTCCATTCCTCTAAATAATTAACAGGAAGGGGGCAGCTATTCCAGTAAAGGGAAAAGTTTCCTTGACCAAACAAGGCAGCCAGGAAGCCAGTCCTATTCCCCAACACTCAAAAAATGAGAATGCTTACACTGCAGCCAGTCCTGTATTTGACAGGACTCAGCTGCCCCCCCCAACAACAGATGTACAGCAGTACAGCTGTCAGCCTTTACTCAGTAGTCTGCAGGGAAACACACCCACGAGTGTTGAAACCAGCTAGCTTACTGCACAGGATTCTGCAAAGGGAGAGCTGTTTTGAGACATTTTTGATATTAATTGCTCATCTTCATGAACACTCAGCCTTGCCCATGGCACAGTTAATGGAAATAGCATGTCCTGCTTTATGCCAGGTCATTCTTATAACATGTCATGATTCCTGAACCATCCATTTCAGAAAGCAACTTAGTCTTGCTAGCTGGGCACAGCTAGATAAATGGCATCTTCAGTAATTAGCTATTGCTCAGTTAAGGCTGCTTTAGCTAAATAAAAATATATAATAGTTAATGAAAACACCCCATTTTCCAAAACCACGTTGCAGACTATTTTTGCATATTTTCATTCTGAAAAGTACCCTTTTCGTTCCTGAAAATCAGTGGCCAACTATTCTAGTTTTTTAAAGGTTAAAATTAAGAGAAAATAAAAAAAAAGAAGAAAAAAAAAATGAGTTGGCAATACTTAAGCAGTAAAGACTCAGCAGCAACCTGACTCTTCCCACTAAATGCCGCCTGTACCCTGGATTACGTGGAGGAGAAGCCATACAAACAAAATAGTGGGTCAGTTCCTCTGATTATACAATCAGCAACTACACTGCTGAGATCATCCACCAGCACAGAAACATTAAGTATGTGTGTCCACAGAGACACTAACAACTTAAACCAAAACTATTTTGGAGAACTCAGCTGCTGGGCAGTACTCATTTTCAGTTACTCTGGTAAGATTTAATAAGGCCATTACCAACAACAGTGAGGATTTTTCTTCATCCAAGTTTGGAGGCCTAATATCTTTCTACACAACTGAATAAATATATTATCTTTCTCATGAAAAAACATCCCCAGTATGAAACAAGGGCAAAGGCAAATACAGACAAGAAGCTGACTCACTGAGACAGCACAATACCTCGAGCTCCTCCTCAGAATTTTGCTAAGCAGGAAGAGAGTAACCGGGCACAACTGTCAGTTTAACAGCCGCTATTCAGAGTGTCATCAACAGCTGCAAAATCATGAAGAATTGTATAATTTTATACTGCTGCTCCCTTGGAGGAAGTTCTGAGCAACTGCCGACAGGAATGCTGCAGTGGTGGTGGGGTGAAGACTTACAAGGTGTTCACAGTGAGGATCAGAGAAGAAAACACATGCATAGGCACAAACTAGCCCAATTTCACTGTCACAATTCCCAGTGAAAAGAAGGGAAATTATAGCGGCTTTTCTGAAAGTAAATCAGGCCACAAACAACTTGCAGAGGATTAACTAGAGTTGATAACAAACCTGTATTTAACACAGTCCTTTAACTTACAAAACAATTTGACAAAGCAGAAGGCAAGCCTCTTCTGTCAAGGTCCTATGTCTGTGTGTGAGGGCTGGCACAGGGAGCTCCTGGTCCAGATGCACTCTCTGTGTAGCTCTTTAAGGCAAAGAAGTCCTCCTGAAGTAATGAACTTTGATGCCCAAGTCACTGTCAGCATGGTTTTTACCACTTTAATCACCTCCCAATTTCTTATAATTTCTAATTAGCTCATAACTTTACAGTGCTAAAAGAGCTCACACCACTGCATTCTCCCTCAAGGTAACAACTACAGGCACCTCATTACACACAAACCCACCACAGGAATGGCTACAGCAGCAACAAACTTTTCAGCTACAGTTTTTAATGAGAAATCTTATCCAGAAACTCAGCAATATACAATCATTGCAGATTAGTTTTGCATCACTACAAGCAGAAAGAAGAATACAGAAGAAAAAGCAGAGTCAGAGTGTACCTTCCATCAAAAAAGCAGAATTTGCCACGGCCATTTTTTTCTCCATGCACAAAATTTCCTTCAAATCTGTCTGTTGATGAATAGGTTATTGTACAGAATCCATGTGGTAGCCCATCATCATCTAGATGCCCTGAAATAAAAAAATAATAAAAAAAAAGCAACAAAATACATGACTTTTTATACAAGATTTTAAACCTTCTCTCATTATGTAGCTGCTTGAAATGCAGTAGCTCCCTAGTACAAAACAGTAATTCGGATCATTGCTGTTAGGAACAGTGATCAGGCATAGTATACAACTGAAGCTCGTACTTGTGTAACACATAGCTTAATATAAAAATAAAATATAAGGATGAAAGAAAAGGGATGAGAGATGGGAGAGAGAAGATGACAATAAGCAAAACTTGTTTCTTAAAGAAACAAAGTTTATATTACTCTAACTTGTATTAATATACATCTTCAAAAGTACAATAATTCTTTATCTAAAACATGTATTTATTGGCAAGAACAGGATAAGAAAAGGTTTGATTTTTTCTTTTGATAAACACATGCCTTATGATAATATGCATGTGCCACCATGCAGCTGTATTCACAGGAATTTAAAGAAATAAAAGTATGTAACGTCCATAATGCTGTGCCCATGCAATATGACAGTCAACGTTGTATTTAGTATTTTAAATGCTGTCCTCCAGTGCCTTTCTGATGTGTTATATACTGTTCCCACCCCTAGCCATATCAGTTTTCCCTATTACATCTGTTGCACAGAGTGAAACCAGAGACAAAACAGTTGGATCCTCACCTGCATGTTTTGTGTTTTACTTAATATAACTGGCCAACTCTACTAAGTTAAAGCATAATAAGGCTCCTATTGCATCTCTAACTGCCTCTTCAAAGCCAAAGGAAGTATTTTAAATGATAGTTACTGCCTGGTTTAGCTATGTGAGCTCTGGCTGCAGAGCTCAGCAGGGCTGCTCTCAGCACAGGGATACACCTGAGTAGGTGCTACAGCTCCCACAGTGACATTTTATCAGGTACAAATTTTGCATGAAAACTGTCAAATAAATAACAGCTAGCCTATATTTATGTCCTGCCATGCTTCTACCTAAAACATTACCTCTGATTCCTCCAGTCTCCTGGTGATGCATACACAGCCAATTAGAAATGAGAGACAGTGTATGCATCCAATTCTTCAAGCTTTGGGTCAAGCTGTTCCCTGACAAAATTTGCCCTAAACTGAAAAGGTTCATCACACATATGGAAAGGCAGAAACAAACTTCGGTGAGAGGGGGCCTGATTTACAGCCCAGGCTGATGCAGGTAGCAAGAGGCACTTCAGTATTATCACACCTTAAGTCCAGTGCCAAGAGAGGGAACAAGCTGTGCAGATTTAATTGAGTATGGAAATGCGCCTAGAAAGGTGTAAAGAAGAAAGTAACAGCAAGGAATCAGAACTCATCCAAGAGCCAGGATTCCCTCCCTCAGCCCTCCCTTGCATGCTCCACCAAGCTTCTCTCGCACAATTGTGCTCTCACTTCAAGTCCCTAGTCCAAACTAACTGAAAACAGTTAAAAGTTTAAGAATCCAGTAAAACTAATCAGGCACCGTTTATCAATTCAAAGTGAGAGAAATAATAGAGTAAAAAAAGAGGGAGAAAAAGGTGGAAGGAACAAAGCTCTATCACTAAAGGCTTTTAATTACTTTGAAGAGGAACTCTTTAAACAAAAGCTGCTCTTTCCAAAGAGGACAAAGGCTTTTTTCCCCTCCCATTCTGTCAGAACACCCCTTTTTGTAGAAAGGACAAGTTTTACCTAAATTTAACCAATTATTATTAATGGTTAAATATTAATAAACAATAAATTAATGACCAATTTAATTAAAATGTCAGTAACATTTCTGATGTGGACACCTCTTTTAGACCAAAAACTATGTTAAAATTTATAGTTTTAATTAAAGGCCTTTTAAATTAAGTTTTATCAATATAGAAGGGTACAACTGGTTTAACTTAACAAACCCAAAACAATACAACAGCTGTTTTACCATCACTACAGGGGCAAAACTTTTATAAAACACTTGGATTAAAAAAATACACTGATAATATTGGTACATAATACTATTTAAAAAAATACCCAAAGCAACAACAATAAATAAACACCCTAGCAAATTTGTTCTGTGACTGTTCAGCTTTGTCAAGATTTTGCTAGAATGCAAAGGCAAACATAAAATCTGCCATGCTTGTACACAGAACATATATCAGGACTTTTGCACAGTAGGATACAGACTATCTCAGAGATTTAAATGGTCAGCTTTGATCCAATGGTCTCTATACAGGGTCTTAATCTCAGCCACAATACAAAGAATCCAATTATTCTAATGTGCTAGACGTTTTCCCTTATTAAAAAAAAAAAATAAAGCCATGCCCCCACCACTACAACAAAACAAGAAACACAGTCTCTCTTAGTCAACAATAACGGAAAAAACCACAACCTCAAGTTTCATAACTTCATAAATACCACTTTTTTCTGTATGGCTGTGGCCTTTGGCTCTAATTCTGTCCCAGATTAACTCAACAGAAGAAATCCTCATTATTTCATGGGGAGCAGTGTGTTCCACTTGCCTTTTTCACCTCTCTCCTCCATTTGCAAAAAATAAACCCAAAGCATCTAAACACATTTTTAAATTATAGTAAAACCTCACTTTTGTCGCTTCATTAAGGGTCTCCTAAGATTTCCTTGTAAGTTCAGACAACGAACTTTTCAAGTTTTTTTTTACTTTAATAGGGGCTAGCTCACAATGGAGTCACTTACCAAAACCACTGATGTACACAAAACAAAGATAAAAACCCCTATTGGCAGTATCACTGTTACTTAACAGATGACATATAATATGCATCATCAATAAAAAATCCTGGACACAAAGATGCCAGATGAATGCTTGAGGAATAACAACAATGAACCAAACTCCCCCTTCAAAAATAAAAGTGCTGATTTCTATATTCCTAACTTCGTTTGGGTAAGTGCAAAATCCTATTCACCCCCAGAAAGCATCCTGCTTCTGTCTCACTCAGAAAAACACATACATTCATATACATTGTTGAATAAAAGACACTTTAAAAATTTGTTTCCTTAGCCCATGGAGATGCCAAACAAACCCAGGATACAGAACACTTTATCTGTGACATAAGGATGCCCCAGACAACTGCAACCCACTGATCTGAGGAGTCAGGAGGAAAGGCAGTGGAAAACCACATCTTTAAGGACACAGGACCCATCCATAGGAGTGCTGCACTCCCCTCACACCCATGTTCTACACAACAAAGCTTCTCTTTGGCTCTGACACCACACACCTAGATGGTAAATCCAGCTCTGAGCAGCAGCTGCTTAACTCACATCTGTTGTCAGACTAAGCTGCCGTGCAAGACACCTTCTCCGGAGCTACTCGCTTTGAGGCCTAGTCCTTCTACCACATGAGACACAAAGCCCACGGCGAACGCCCATTACTCGCATCTTAGGGAGCAAGGAGCTGCCTATCCCAACAGCTGAACACGCCAAACTACTATTAACGGCAGGACCACGGTCCCTCTGCGAGGAATCTTTGGGGAGCCGGTGGTCTCCCACAGAGATGTCAGGCTTTGTTTCCCTGCTCCCAGACGCCACGGAATGACAGCCTGCTGAGGAACTGCATCCCTGCCTGCTAAGGTTTCCACCAGCAAATCACTTCCAGAGGTCACGCGCCTCTGGGTTTAGAACTCTTCAAGGGCTAGCTATCCACACATGTGAGGTGAATTGAACATACAGGGTATATATTAGCTATAAGTTGGCCCACCCCTCTCCCATACGGATGGCTCCAACCTTGCTGCCCATGGATACGGCCACAGTATCTTCTTGGACTCGCTCTTTCTTTTCTTTTCTCCATGTATGTGACTGCCGTCCTGGCTCCCTGGGCTCTCCCCAAAGAAGGGCATCTCCATGTCCCTCAGCCGCCAGAGAAAGGACTGGGCAGCGGCCGCACCGCCCAGGGCGTGCGGGCTGTAGGCCACCGCCCGCACGGGGGCACAGCAGCTACAGAAAACCACGGTCATGACTTATTTTTGACAGTAAGAGCTGAGCAGACGCCATCCCCGCGTCCGGGGTGCAGAGCTCCCCGCTGTGGCCGGAGCACTCGGCGGCGGAAGGCCCCCGAAGCGCCCGCCCGGTAACGGCGCCAGCGCGGCCCCGGCTCCCCCCGGCCCCGCCGCCAGCCGAACTCGACCACGTGCGCGGCCCCGGCCCGTCCGTTGCATAAGCCCACTGATGTCATCCACTGCGCCCGACCCC